TTTTCTGACTGTGGTTGTGAGTTGGGAGTCCCCCGGACTATTCTTTGGTTGGATAACTTAACGGAAGATTTTACAAAACTTGTCAAAAGGTGTTTTACTCATGTTTGCAGTTTATTACAGTGAAAGGAAACAGACTCTGCTTATAGCAGAGTCCAGGAAATTTCCGAATGTGGAGCTTCCAGCTTCTCTCTTCCTGTGGAGTCATGAACAGTATTACTTCCCTGGTATTGATGTGTGACAGCATGATGGAATATTTTCAAGTATGGGAGCTCTCTTTGGATTCCAGACTTTTTATTAGAGTTCCGTGATTTACTGCCCACTTAAACTGAACTTGGTCTCTAGCACCTTTGAAGGTGTAGCTGATTTTTTTGACTCAAAGTCCCTGCCATTGATCACATTGTTATACTTGCTGGTGTGGGAAACACCTTCAGGTGAACAAGACATTCTTAGTAGCAGGCATGATATTCCGAGAGTTTGGAGATTATCTTCCATAAACCAAGGGTAGAGGCCAGAGCTTTCTTTGGGCAAGGCAAAATTCTTTACACCTTTATAGTTGTTTTTAATTTTGAGTCTGCAATAGTTGCAAGTTGAGTTTGATTAATGATTAAAAATTGGTCACAAAGAATCCCTCTATAAATAATTAGGATTTGGTACTGGAGATAGCTAATACTTTAGCTAAGTTTTCTCAAGAAATAACTTTATTTTTCAGTATTGCAAAAGTGATGTAATATTTTGTAACGATTTGTTTATTTATGCATACAGGAATTGGGATACAGGCCAGAGGTGTGGGGGGTGAGAGTATACACCAGAGAGTGGGGAGCAGAACAGACAGATTGACTGGAGCACACAGCTGAGGGGAGCAGAGGGTGAGACAGGAGAGGTCTACTGTGCTACCAGGGTCACCTTCCTGGCCGGGGATCAAACTCTTGCTGCAGTGGCTGTAGGTGGGTAGCTTCACAGTACTGCACTTTAACCCCTTGCACCACCAGGGAGAGCACTGAGGTTCTGTTTATTAGTTTCAGCTGTTTTCTCCTATGGGAAGAGTTTCATATAGTGAAGTTTCCCCAGCCTCACTTTTTAATGGGAGGATTAGACCTATATTTTAGAACAGTATATTAAATATAAAAGAGATATGCATAGGGACTAGCATATGCATACTTTTACCTTTTCTTTTATCCTTCATGAAAAGCATGTCAAATCCAGGTGAGTAAGACATTGTAGGGATAACCTTGAATATATTTCTAAAAGATAAATCATTTTTACATAGTCTTGTTAGTATGGAAAACAAACCCAGTATATCTCCTACAACTGCTTTGTGATAGTGACACTATCTTTGTGAACCACATTGCTTAGAGAATAAATACATCTCTACCCCATTGGTTTTACGGCAAACCTTATTTCCTGGTTGCTGTCCATTACAAATTAGATTTCACCACAAGAGCAAAATCCCTTAATAAGCCTAGTTATAAAAACAACTTGAAGCAATATGATGCTAATTCCTCTGGCACCACTAGGTGTGTGGTGTTTGCATCAAGTCATTTTGGGGTGCTTTATGGAAAAGCTTCCTAATAGGGAATTCCCAACTGTATGTTTCCAGAGTGGCTCTTTGGACCACAGGATGTCACATTTACCCAGGAGATACAACCCCTAATACAGGTGGATTGTTGATATGAGGTCTGAATTTGAGTCATTCAAAATGAATGACCTCTTAAGGATTTATTATACTTTCTGTATGTTGAGAATAGGTAACTAAAATGAGTGCTTACTATGTTTGTATGTGATTTGTATGTAATAGTTAACATTTAAATTCTCTTAAGTACTAAAAAACTTTTGTTTGCTACCTTAAGACTTTTCCTGCCTCTAAGGCATAGGGTGGCTTTCCATCTCAATTTTTACTTCAGCATATGAACCCCAGAGGACCATAGTTCAACTAAAAGCACCTAACCCATGAATGATATTTGCTTCATGTTTGAACAACAAATGTTTTAACCCACTGTCTTCACTAATATTGTAACTACTGTCTTACAGATTGACTTGATGCAAAACATCACAAAGGCTCCATATTATACAGTATGCGATTTTTGAGGTATGAGCTTTAGAAACTTACCTCTCATGTGGCATGTACATCAGGCTTTAACTTCAGTTTAATCGTTTTGGGGTAAATTTATGCATTTCTTTTTTTTTTTCTCTCTCCAAAAATACTTTTCAAGTATTAAAGGGACTGGAGGTATTTTTGGATTCTTGCTAGGATACTTAATCTTAACAGATACGTTTTCTTTTATAACTACATTGAGACACTAATTCTGGCTGATGATAGCTTTTTCAGCCCTTGTAACTAGCTTAACATTTATGCCTGCCTCTTTAAGTTCAAATCTGCATTTTCTATTTTGTGCCTTTGATTGCCTCATTTTCAGTGCTCATTTCTGTTCTTTAATAGTTTTCTATTTATTGGTCTGGGATGTTCTTGTTGCTAATAGCCTTTTTTTTTTTTTCTTAGACCTAAGCATTCTAGATATCTAGAAGTAGAGGTTTCATATGCTTGCTGAACCACTTTGTTCTTTGGTTCGTAATATCTCTAACTTGAATTCTGGTTAAATATGCTTTGATTGGTTTGTTTTAGAATAACTTGGCAACTAAAGTTTTTCAGCAGTTCTAAGACAGTTCCTAATGAATTTTATATTTCTGAAAATTCAAGTTATGGTAAAATAATTTTGGTGTTTATAACTCATAGGATTCAAAATTTTGTATTTTTATCAAACTAGGAAGTTTTCCTGGCTTTTCAGTTTAGCTTGAAATTAAATGCTCTTTAGAGTGGCTTTGTTGATAGCAGATTTCTTAATTTCTGTATTGAATTTTTAAATCAGCTGCTAAGTATTGAGTGTAAAATATTGTTTATATGCTTATGAACTGTTTCTACATTGTTTAGATCAGAATTCTTAATTTCATTTAGTTTTATGATCATAATAACTTTGCTTGTAAACCTTGTAAACTAAGTGTTTATAATTCTTTAACTTACTTGAGCCGCTTAATCTTGCATGTTAGGTAGGTCTTACTCCCATTTCATGTAAGAGACCACTGAGGCTTGGCGGTTATGTGCCTTGTACCAAGTCACATACCTTTTCAGCGCTTGGAGCTGGGATTTGAGCCCAGATTTTTTAATTTAACATGTTTGTTGTTATATCACCAGAAAATGATAAATTTAACTCTATTTATTCCCTTGCAAGCATTTTATTTTTCCAGGTTGTGTTAGGTGCTATACATGCAGACAAGTTCAAAACCTGTCAGAAATCTCACACATGATTCTTTTTCAGTTCCTTTTCAGAAATTAATGGTAAATAATGGTTTATTGTAGGTGTCCTTTTATTCTGTTTTTAGATAACATGCAGAATGTTACTGCATAGATTTTTTTTTTTTAAAGTTCTCCTGCTCCATTTAGTGTTAGAGGTACTTAACATACTTTTCCCTTGAAATTCTATAATCATTATTTCTCCTATGTTAGAAATACTGAACCTTGCTTATTAGCTAGTGATCCCTGAATGTTTGAAGGGATGGATACTCCACTGTAGAACCTTAGTTATTTTAATATGTTAGAGTTACGATTTTTAATCGAGCTTCAACTTAAGAGACTTTAGGAATAAGTTGGACTATCAACAGTGGCTGCTGTAAGTACAGATTGGGGTGTCTGATTTGAGTCTATGCAGAGTTTCAAGTTTAGTAATTTTGTGGGTGGGGAACCAGTGATGAAACTCTTTAAGTGTGATCTATGTATATGAACACTGTAGTTATTTTTAAAAAAGGGGAGAGGGATGTATAAGGGATAGGGTAGATTCTGCTCTAGCCAGTATCCTGAACTTTTCCAGATAATAATGGATTCATGAGATGTTTTATATTAAGTGTCATAAAAGTGAATTTCCCCCAGAAAATGGTTTCTCTCAGAAGAAATAATAGTAGGAGAGGAACCTTTTTTTTCCCCCTGCATGTTTTCTTTTAGACAAGCCAGTGTTGTCATATTTCTTTGTATGTTATGATTGATGGTTGGAAGAATGAGGCTTGTGAGAAATAAACCTCTCACCTCTCTGTGTCTGTGTTACTGATGAGGACTCTTAGGCAAAGAACTGATTCTTGAACAAGAACACTAATTTTGGCCTGGGGCTGCACCACTTGTTTATTGACAGCCAAGGGATTATTGTGAGCAGTATTTGAATTTTAGATTATGGACCAGAGCTTCCAAATTCAGCTTTATTCTACTCCTGATGCCTTTTGTTTTCTTTATTTTTATGCTTTTAATAGATACTCCTAATAGTTGAAGAATCTTCAGTGAAGTCCAGTTTTGCAGTACATTTAAATAATTGTACTTTGCAACTGTGTTCTTTCCTTACTCATGGGCTTGCTTTCATATACTTTGTAATTTTTTCTGCACAGAGTAATCAGGTTAGAAATTCAAGTGAGAGAGAATCCATGTTGCTAGAAGGCAGAAATAACTTGCTAACACATTGCCCTTACTGTCTAATATTTTTAGTGTTGATAGTTTTTTTTTTTTTTTAAATCTTTATGGCTAGAAAGACTGGTTTTTACAATGGTTACCTCTTCCCTGGAAGCAGGTTTTAGGAAGAATTATATCTTTTAAAAGTTACGTGAAGAGAATCCTGGACCACTGTAACTGTCTACATTTTCCTGAGAATTAGGGAGTTCCTAAGAGATGGCTTTTTCAGTGCTGAAACTTAGTTTAGTTTTGCATGAAGTCAGATAAGTTGGTCACCCTAGTCCTGGCAGTGACTCTTTCTGAATAGGTCTTTAGAATGGTAGAAGGGGGTGGCAAATTGTCATTTCTTCCATCCCTTTCCCTTGAGATATTTTAGGCAATAGAATGCTTACTTACAATATAGTAGTTTTTAAAAAATTAGAAGGTGGGGAGAAGAGAGGCTTATGTAGAGGAAAGATCTATGATTGAGCTATTAGAATGTTTAAAGTTCTAATTTTATACTTTTCTCTCTTTACAGAACTGATAGTGCATCAGCCGACCCAGATAATTTAAAATACTCCTCATCCAGAGATAGGGGTGTATCTTCCTCTTATGGACTGCAACCTTCGAATTCAGCTGTGGTGTCTCGGCAAAGGCACGATGATACCCGAGTGCATGCTGACATACAGAATGACGAAAAGGGTATTTACGCACACTCCTACTCCCTAACTCTAGAGGTGTAGTGTTTGGGTGTTTTGTTTTGTTTCGTTTTTTTCGTAAGCCTACCTAGCTACCCCTCTTTCCCTTTTTCTCGCTTCCCTTTTTTCTAATTACTTTAAAAACATTAAATACAGTGCGATTTTTGAAGTTGACTTTGTAAGTCATTGGGGAAAGAGTGAGTTAACAGTGTTGACTAGCCCTGCATTCTAAAACTTGAGTGTTCTTTTCATATGTATGATACATAAATATACTGTCTTGTCTCCCTCCCCCCACCAAACCCCTAATATGGTACTGTTACTAATGCTAAAGTTGCTCCTGACCACTAAATTTCTAGATTTCTAAAAATCTTTTAAAGCGACAAAATCTGGCTTAATTTTGTTACCATTTTTTTCTCATCTTCATTGAGGATATTAAATTAAAATAATTTTAAGATGGGCAGAACAGAGGACAGTAGAAGAAGCCAGGGCAGGTTTAGCTGCAGATTTCAAATTCATAAGATCCTGAACTATGGGAAGTTGAATGAAACAAAAATTTCTATTTAAATAAAGTAAATATTGTTCTTTTTAGGTGGCTACAGTGTCAATGGAGGATCTGGGGAAAATACTTATGGTCGGAAGTCGATGGGGCAAGAGCTGAGGGTTAACAATGTGACCAGCCCTGAGTTCACCAGTGTTCAGCATGGCAGTCGTGCGTTAGCCATCAAAGACATGAGGAAATCACAGGGTAAGACTGCATAGACAGGGCCCCAACCACAGAGACTTGTGGCTTCTCTTATGAGTGCTTTGTTTCTTAGTAATGCTTTGCACGTATATGAACTGTCTAATAAAGCTGAGTATGAAATCCAGATTTTTGATTTACACATTTTGTTGGACATAATCACTCTTTAGACCTTTCCATTGTGCGTGCTGTGTGTGATATTTACCTTGAATGTCTTTGTGCATATAGCTTTTTCTTTGGTATATATAGTTTAAAAAAATGATTTTTGGGGCTGAATAAATGCAAGTAGAATAACTATGTGCAGTCTGTATACTATTTAATAAGGTTTTAAATCTTAGAGTTAAGTATAATAGCTAAAAAGTTACTTGAAATTTCATTCTCACAATCTCTGGAGTTTGTAGCTTGCTAGTGGCAGAATTGTAAGTGGGGCTTAGATTTCTTGATTGGTAACTTACTGGGATCTGTAGTGTCAGTCTTTATATTCTGGGCTGGGGCTTTGAAATCCTATTCCTTCTTTCTCAGATATTGTAATTGATTATCAAACTTGCCTTTAACAGCCTTAGAAAGAAATGAAACTGTCAGACCCTTGATGTAGTGTGAACAAATATTGGTTAATCAGTAGTAAATAGCACAGTGAAAAATTAAGAAAGAAAAACTTAGTAGTTCAGCACATCTTCATTAGTGTCCAGCTTTGAGCATTTCTGTTTATTCTTGTCGTTCAAAAATTGTGGTAAGATTAAAAAATAAGGGGAAAAAATGCTCAGATCTGCCACTGTCTCTACATGGCCAGTGGTAATTAGCCATTTACTGAATTGATTGTGTGATTATGGTTCACCAGAACTTTGTCATAGGAAAATAGTGATAATGTGAGCAAGAGGCTCCAGAGAGATAACTTAGTGAGAAATAGAAGTGTATAGCCGGCTTTTGTGACATTGAGACTTTATTCCTAACCTGGAGAACTCTGTGATCCAGGCTTTTTACCTGAGTTTTGAAAACAGCTTGGAACAGCTCCAAAGAAAATAATTTCTAAGCTGTCTTTTCTCTCAGCAGGTCCTCTGGAATGAGATGTTTGTTTAGGTGTATATTTGAGTTCTGCTGTATATCAAGCAGTGTGCTGGGCCTTGATTCATAGATACGAGCAAAAGTGTGATTGGGCAAAAGTGTACAATGTCCAGTGGACACTGGTGTTTGATATATTTTAACATATTTGGTCTACTCAGTTTCTGTTGCTTGCTTATTCTCAATGGATAATAAAATGTATATATTGACAGAGCGTTCGATGTCTTATTCTGATGAGTCTCGACTGTCGAATCTTCTTCGGAGGATCACCCGGGAAGACGACAGAGACCGAAGACTGGCTACTGTAAAGCAGTTGAAAGAATTTATTCAGCAACCAGAAAATAAGCTGGTAAGTATAGAGTGTTTGGAGACGTTGATAATTTTTGTGTTTCCATAAAAACTAATGACACTTGAAGTGGTTGAAGAAGAGAAAAGGCACCTAGGGAAAAATAAGAAGAATCCTTGTTCCAGGCAAATTTGGCCTGTCCTGTGACCTTTAACTGAATGTGTGATTTATCTGCTGCTGTTGGAGCTGCATTGGTGCACTCTGATAGAGTGTTTTTAACATAAGACAGAATATCTCTGATTTTCATGTATGAAAGTGGGATAAGGGATGCATAGTTCAGGAGCAGCTTCAAATTTCTCCCCACCATGAATAATTCTTCTAATGTTAAATTTAAGAATAAGAAACATTTGATGAGAACGATGTGGTGAATCAAGTGAACATTTGGTTCAAAGCAAGTCCCCCTCTATATTTTTATTATGAAAACTTTAATGTATATAGCAAGTTGGAGAAATTTTTTTTTTTTTTTTAAGATTTATTTATTTATTCATACAGAACTGGGGTACAGGCCAGAGATGCGGAGGGTGAGAGGATTCACCAGAGACAGAGTGGGGAGCAGAACAGGCAGATCGACGAAGTACACTGCTGAGGGGCGCAGCGGGCGGGTCAGGAGAGGTCTGCCACGCCATGTGGTCACCTCCGGGGCAGGCAGGAATCAAACTCATGCAGAAGTGGCTTTAGCTTCTCAGTACTGTGCCTTAACCTGCTGTGCCACCAGGGAGGGCCAAGTTGGAGAAATTTTACAGTGACCATCAGATACCCCCCATCTAAACTTTGCTATCAGCATTTTACCATATTGCTTCAAAACTTACTTTTTGATTGATGGCCATGTCTGTATATTTATTAAAACTAAGTTTTTTCATAGCCTGAAAGGAAACTTGTGATCTCTGATATATGCTAATTGGGGCTGGGAATAGTGAAAGTAAGGGGATGTCCAGTTCTGTTTTAAAGGGGAACACAAGCAACATATATGGTGTTCTTGAAAGTATAGGAATTTGAAGTTTTTATAAATGTGTGTATGTGTTTTTTTTAAGGTACTAGTTAAGCAGTTGGATAATATCTTGGCTGCTATACATGATGTGCTTAATGAAAGGTAAATAATAATGTTTAAAATTTGAGACTTCAAAGTTACTTTTAGAAATCATTATAATGTACACAAGACAAACCAATTGACTTCACCTGTTTAATGTTTCAGTGGGTTGTCTTGTAATCTCTATCTGTATTACACTATTGACACATTCGTTACCATTGAATATGAATGGAAGCCACTTGGAAGGGAATACTATTTTTTATTTTAAATTCAATCAGCATGACTGAATAATTGAGCGTTGACTTGAATGACTAAACTCTTGATGCAAGTAACTAGAGAATAGAGGTGATAGGGAACTTATTTCTTTGGAGAACAGTGGAGGTGAGCCATCTACTCTGTGTGACTCCTGAGGTTCTCCAAAGGTGTGCACAGTCCTTTCTTCATATGGTAAGACCCAGAGAATTGCAGTGTTGGAAGGTACCCTGAATGATTTTATATAGTTACTGATATTATTCTAAAATCAGTACTGTTATCTTTTCTAAGTTTATTATACTTATGACTACTCTCATTTTATGATCCTTATATGTTACAAGGCCATTATATAGTTACAGTATACGTTTTGTGAATTTATTGTTGCCCTTTTCTATGAATCATTTAATGCCATTTGAAATAGAATTTGAAGCCTGAATTTTAATATCCCAGGGCCTTTCCTTACTGTTTGTAAGTAATTGACTTTGCACAAGAAATTCTAATGTTGAACAAAGGTACTTTTGGGCACTGCAGGATAGAAAGAATAGAGGGAATTTTTAAAGTGACTATAAAACTTCAATCTTTTATGTAGTTTGAATAAAAGAATGATAAAAACCATTGAAGACATTTCTTTTTCAGATATTTATTTTTAGGCATAGAGGAACTGTCTGTCAGAGTTGGGGGGATGGTTGGGGGGTGGGGATGAGAATTCACCAGAGACTGAGTGGGGAGCAGAACAAGTAGATCTACTGAAATACACTGCTGGGGGGAGCAGCAGGAGAGACAAGAGAGGTCTACTGTGCCATGTGGGTCAGCTCCCTGGCTAGGGATCACACTCTGCCACTGGAGCTGAGAGCTTGATTTTAACTGCTGTGTCACCCCAGAAGCCCCCTAAGTCATTTTTTTGTAAGATGTATCGTTCTTGTCATTTTTGAAAGTTTAAGCTTGTTGTGTGTCTTCTGTTTTGTTTACATTAAAATAAACAGTAGCAAATTGCTTCAGGAGTTGAGACAGGAGGGAGCTTGCTGTCTTGGACTTCTTTGTGCTTCTCTGAGCTATGAGGCTGAGAAGATCTTCAAATGGATTTTTAGTAAATTTAGCTCATCTGCAAAAGATGAAGTTAAACTCCTCTACTTATGTGCCACCTACAAAGCACTGGAGACTGTAGGAGAAAAGAAAGCCTTCTCATCTGTAATGCAGGTAAGAACGAGGGGGAAATTGGTGATATGCTTGGGAGGAAAATTGTCCTTGATGTTTGTCTTTGGGGAAACGTAAGGAAATTTAAAATAGAATTTTTCCTGCTGATAGTAAAATGATGGAACTAAAATTTCTATTTCTCAATTTGTGTGAACACATTAAAAGTAGATTTAAAATTATTTTGTTTTTAAAATTTTGTCTTTTCCTTTGAATTTGCGTATTACTGGAATCATTTGCAGATTTGAAAATAGTAGGAGAGCTAGGTAGGCGGGGCTTCACATCACATAGGTAGGCAAAAGCTAAATATCACAACACATCTTACGCCTTTTAAAAAGCCTAGCTAATGCAAAAATTCTAACTCCAAATGGTGAATAATTGTGTGTAAATGAATGTCAGCTCTACTTTTATTTTACTTTGAGAATTTTCAAAATCATGGGAAAATAAGCAATAATAATAAATACCCATAGACACCCTTTACCTGTTTTGTCTCTTGTTAAGTTTTGCTTATTACTTGCCTCCCACATACTCGCATACTTTTTGTTGAAACCATTTGAAAGTCGCAAATATTATGAGTTTACCCCTTCATAATTTCAGTGTGCATCTCCTAGTCATATGGGGTAGTTTGTACAACCATAGTATCATTACAGTCATACTTAAAATTAATTTTATTACATAATAAAGCTGTATTCAGATTTCGACAGCTGACCTTAAGATCTTCTTTATAGCTTCTGTCTTACCTAACCTGGGATCCCATCAAGGTGTATGCATTGTTTGGTGTTGGCGCTCTTTAATCTCTCCAGTCAGCTTTCTGTACCTCTTTTGTCCTACTTATCTTGTAGAATGTCTTGCTTTCTGGGTTTCTCTGATTATACTTGACTAGACTGAGTTTAAACATTTTGGTCATGAATACTTCATGGCTTCATATTTATCCCCTGCCTCACACCAGCAAGCACATAACTTCAGGTTGTCTCATTCTCTGAGATGAAGAGTTTCATTATCTGGTTGAGCATATGAATGACTATAAGATCTTTCTATTGTGAAGGCTTATTTTACTTCCTATATAAAGTGTATGATGCCATGAGACCTTCTGAATATCATGTTTTTTTTTTTTTTTAAAGATTTATTTATTCACTTTAATGTATATAGCAAGTTGGAGAAATTTTTTTAAAGATTTATTTATTCATTCATACAGAACTGGGGTACAGGCCAGAGATGCGGAGGGTGAGAGGATTCACCAGAGACAGAGTGGGGAGCAGAACAGACTCAGGCGGGGATCGAACTCATGCGGAAGTGGCTTAAGCTTCTCAGTGCTGTGCTTTAACCCGCTGCGCCACCAGGGAGGGCCCAGAATATCATGATTTTAAAGTAGTATTTCACTTGGTGGTTTTAACATCTATTCATTCTTTATACATATATAGATTATAAATCACTATTGCATAATTGTGTTTTTGAGTTTTAGCTTTTTTTTAAACATTCTTTCATAAAGAATTTTCCTTTTGGGTGTAAAAATGGGTTATACAACTGCTAGATAATTTCTCAGTAGTATGCTAGGTAATTTCTCACTAGATCTATATAAAGTGGTAACATTACGAGCCTGTGTGTCACTCATGTGTTGGGGCCATGCTAAAGTTCCCTGAGTCATTCCACTTTGAAGCAACTACTAATATCCTAAAGCTTATTTTGAATTGGAAAGTAATTGTGATACTTTAAAATTTCCCAAACATATTTTAGTTTAAACTTAACTTGAAACTTAATCACTTCCATGGCACTTAAGAGAGCACTTAGTGTAAACAGACATTAGAGAAGAGAAAAACAGTAGTTTTCAGCCTAATATCTCAGAGGAATGAAATATTTATGGAACTAAAACTGTCAAATTTTTTGGATACAGCCAACATAAAAAAATTAACATAATTTGCTAATTTCTTCCCTGTTTTTTTGAATGTTCACAATTTGTAACTTTTTACTTTTAGCTTGTAATGAGCAGCCTGCAGTCCATTCTTGAAAATGTGGATACACCAGAATTACTTTGCAAATGTGTTAAGTGCATTCTTTTGGTGGCTCGATGTTATCCTCATATTTTCAGCACTAATTTTAGGGTAAGTTTCTTCCCCTTCTCTTCTTTCTGCCACCCGCCACCCCCCCCCCACACACACACAATTTTCAGATGGTGTGGTAGGGCTTTGCATGTTTGTGGGCCTGGGGAATTAGCTAGAAAATTGTTCCTTTGTGTGTATATTCAATCATGTTTGAGGGTTCAGGATTGAATAATATTTATTTAATAATATGTTTTCTAACATAAATACTTCAAGATATTTAAAGAAAAAATAACATTTCATCAGTGTCATAAATGAAGTTTCATTATTTTCTTGCCTTAGTCTCCCTCTGAGTTTGTATAATATTAAGTAGGTAGAACTTGAGATACACTTTCTAGGACCTCTTAATCTGAAATGTTGCACAGTGGAATAACAGGAAGAACTTAACATGATTAGTCCCCTTCTCTGTGTCTCTCTCTAGGATACAGTTGATATATTAGTTGGATGGCATATAGATCATACTCAGAAACCTTCACTAACACAGCAAGTGTCTGGTAAGTCATCTTGCATGTATCAGTACTTTTAAGTATTATGGGAAGGAGTACCGGTGCTTTTAAAGGGCAGGTCCTAATCTAAGAAAAATAATTGCTCAGGGAAATATTTTAGTTATTGTTAACTAACACTGCTTAAGAGTAAAATTATCTTTTCAAAGGAAAATTGTATAGGTAGGAAGAGTAAGTATAGATTGTAATACCCACCTGTGAGAAATTGAGAGGACTTAACTTGAAGTCATTTTTAGCATGGGTTGGTTGGAATAGACGAAAGTGAATAAATAGCAGTACCCAGACACATAGAAGGGAAGGTTCTGCCTGGGTAATTGTGATTTGTTTTTCTGGTTGTCAGTAAACAAATGGACTCATTTGAAGAACTGTCACAAGGAATATTTTATTTACGTGAATGATTAGTTTTACTCATTTGGACATACCAGCCTGCTCCAGTTATTAAAGTTGCTCTTAGCTTCTTTAGTGCACTAAACTTTTGACAATAGCATATGCTGGTGAGGATGGTTCTGTTATGTTTCTAGTATGGAGGTGAGTCAGATGACACTGGTTGGCCAGGTGTTGCTCTCAGGTGGATGGCCTAACTGGTGGTAGATGGTGGCATTTTATTTATTTTTTTAAGATTCGTTTACTCATACATATAGTAACTGGGGTACAGACCATAGGTGTGGGGTGAGAGGACTCATCAGAGACAGAGTGGGGATCAGAACAGACTGATTGGCTGAAATACACTGCAGAGGGGAGCAGGAGACATCTGTTTTGCCATGTCGGTCAGCTCCTTAGTTAGGGATCAAACTTGTGTTTGCAGTGGCTGTGGATAGTTTCATAGTGCTGGGGCTTTAGCCCCTTGTGCCACCAGGGAGGTCCCAGATGGTGGCATTTTAGTCTGTCAGGTATAGGGATAGTATGGATATGAATTCAGCTTAAAAAAAAAAAGACTTGAGATAATTGCTGTTTAATATCTGAAGATTGTTCATTTCTGCATTGGTTAAATCCAATAGCCAGTTAAATAGTTAAATTATAATTTTGTCATAAAGGACCTATTTTAAGAGTGGGCACCTTAAAAACCACCTTTTAAAAGAAGGCTCTTAAATATTCTTTTATTTTGCATTTTTCTATTTTTTTCCTATTTCAATATTTCTTACATGATTCCTAGGGTGGTTGCAGAGTTTGGAGCCATTTTGGGTAGCTGACCTTGCATTTTCTACCACACTTCTTGGTCAGTTTCTGGAGGACATGGAAGCTTATGCAGAGGTGAGTATATAGAAAACTGTAAGTTAATTGTCTAAAATTCCAATTAAGTAAAAACCAAAAATCTAAAACAGTGTTATGTGATCTACTTGTCACTTAAGGGGCAATTATAAGACATTGCATAATTTTAATTTTTTTAAGTTTATGAGCAGAATTATTAGAAACACTGAAAGAAAAATTGCAGGTCTAATTTGAAGAACTTGAAATAATTTTGGTAGCTGGTAGTTTTCTAAAGACATTTTCTGTAACTCACCTTTTTTTGTTTATCAAGATTTTAAAAGTAAGATAAACTGATAAAAGCTGCTCCTAAGACAGCTCTTTTCTGTATGGTCATGGTCTTTGGATAGAAATTAATTCAGCCAGATTTTGCCGTTGTATAAGCAGCAGCTGTAAGGTCCTCCTGTGCCATCTCAATTGTCAGTTTTTGGCTTTCCTGGCCCTACTCTCATACCTTTCAGTCCGATTGTTTCCTTGTCTTCCCTGTTCAGAATGGTCAGGATGTCAATAAAGATTTAGTTTCACCTTTATATCTTGGTTACTTGTAACCAATAAGAATTCAGTCCCTTTTTTTTTTTTAAAGATTTATTTATTCATACAGAACTGGGGTACAGGCCAGAGTTGCGGAGGGTGAGAGACTTTACCAGAGACAGAGTGAGGAGCAGAACAGGCAGATCAATGAAGTGAAGTACACTGCTGAGGGGAGCAGTGGGTGGGGCAGGAGAGGTCTGCCACGCCATGTGGATCTCCTCCTGGACTGGCGGAAATCGAACTCATGCAGAAGTGGCTTAAGCTTCTTAGTTCTGTGCTTTAACCTGCTGCGCCACCAGGGAGGGTTAAGAATTCAGTCCCTTTTAACTGTCTCAAGCTGTTGCTCCCTTTCAGAGAAAAGTGAAGATGTTCTGCTTCCACATGGTTTTTGTCCCCATAGCCAAACTGTCTTTGTTCCTAGACCACCTTTAAAGCTGATGTGTAGGTGCCTCTCTGAAGTCACCCATTCTAGCTTGTACATATAATTTCCCTTGATAACCATAGAGCTAATTCTCTTTGATATTTTGATGCTTAATTGAATGTCGATATACATTGCTTACCTACCTTTTTGCTTTCCTTTTCTTTGAGTGTATCTTATTTCCTCAACTAAATCGAAAGTCTGCAGGCCAGGTCTTGTAATTTTTTTTTTTTTTTTT